GGACTATCGGAAGGGGGGGCTATGAGGGGTCTGGGGTGCCATCCTCCTCCAGCCCAGACCCCTCATAGCCCCTCCCCTTCCATAGTCCGGCAAATCTGATAATCCAGCACCCTCTGGGTCCTAAAGGTGCCGGATTATCGGAAGTTTACTGTATTCTATTATTGTTTAAAAGTGCAATTAAAGCTGCAATTAATCAACTATTTTTTAATCTTGCAATTAATCATAATTATATCTTTAAATTGTTTCAAAGCCTAAACAATACATACTGATATTGATATGTCTTCATGCTAGTTTATTGTCACTTGAGGTAAATAAATGTTGCTGCTGATACTCAAAGCTTATTATATAATGTCTTACACTACTTGCTTACATTAACATATCTCTATATGCTGATAAAACAGCAATTGTAATTTTCAATCACTTTAAATAAGTAAAGTGATTTCAGCAACTACATATGTCTGAGGCATGCAACAATTTTGAGTTTTTTACAAATCATATTTTCCTTTTGTGCAAGCCCCACACAATCCCAAAGCTGACTAAAACAAAACACTTTTAAATAAACAAAGTAAACAAACTAGAAAAAGTTAAGAGAGAATTGTATTGCATTTCAGTTACAAGTAACTAGGTGTTGTAACAATGGTAGATTGAAAAAAATTCATGCTCAAGAAGTTTGGATGGAAATTAAGTGTTTAATTGTTATTAGGGAAAGGCAATTTAGAAGCTTTAACCTTTATTCAAGAAAGTCTTTAATCACATGTTTAAGTTTAAGTTCCATTGAAATCAGTGTTTCTTAGATGCCTTTCCTGAACTGAGATGCTCTCCTAAATTATGGTGTTTCATACCCTTGGACTGATAATGGGGGGGAGGGAGAGATGAAATAACTCTTCTGTGAGATAGTGCTATATATTCTGTAGGTTAAAAATACTTTTACCTATTCTTTTGGTGCAAATGATCTTTCTATCTCAGCTCCCAGCTCCAAAATGAGTGGGATTTGTGTAAACTCTGATTCTCTTTTGGATGTCTCACTCTCAGCAAATGCATAGTGCTGATGTCAGAATCTACTTTGCTGTGTAAGATACTTACATAGCCTTCCTGTACTGAGTATCTGAGCATCTCAGTCAGTTATCCTGTAGTACTATAATACTTCCAATAATATGGAAGTACTGTTATCCTAATTTTACAGATAGACACAGAGCAACTAAGTGACTTCCTCAATACCATACAGTATGGCTGTGGCAAAGCAGAGAACTGAACCTAAATCCCCCAATTTCAAGGCTAACCCACCAACCATTGGACAATTCCGCCTTTCTCATCTGCCCTACTACTTTACCTAGTCCATTCTTGTGTGCAAGTGGAGTGCTGTAAGAGTTCTGATCTTGACAAACTCTATTCAGGATTTTTGAATATTTCACTTGTCTTTTTACATGTAAAACAGAAGACATTGCATAGGTAGATGGCAAAATTCACACATGCTTACCAAAGAAATAAAGATAAACTGGTAGGTCTAATTTTAGCCAATTAAAATAGCCTACCATCATTGACTGTTCCCATAAACAAATTTAGCATGTAACTCACTTGCCATGGATAGAAAGAGATATAGCACAAACAGAATTCGAGTAATACATATAAAATTGAATTGCTAGGACTAAAGTTTAAGGACCAGATACTCCATTGGTATAACTTTTATTTTGGATAGTCTTTGTGCATTCTGCATCAATATTATTTGTTATGTAATGTTCCCTTTTTCTAATATCTGTAAAATGAATCACTGTGTTCAAATCTTTCTCTTTTCAGTTGTCTATGAGCACAGGTCAAGATTAGAAAAGTCATTACAGAAGGAAAGGCTTGAACATAAGAAAGCCAAAGAAGGTAAAACCTTGTTTTTCATTTTCTTAGTATAATGTTAATTTTATAAATTATGGATACTTGTAATTCACTGGTAGGTTCATTGTCATTGAGAATTTCTATGCTTTAAATATGTGCACAAGTCCTTTAATTGGCTATTTTAATAAAAACATCCATAAGGCATATGACCATTTCATGCATGCCAAATATATCTATTTAAACACCTGTCCTCAAGAGAAGGGATTTATGAAACTGGGTTTTAGTTAAATATCCTTGAATAATACAGTACTGGACATAGTTTGTGTTTTATTATACAAGTATTGCATTTTTGTTAAGATATCCTCTACAAAAGCTTTCTGACTACGATACTTTAGATAATTTTTCTAACTTATTTTTCACGGTGTAAATTACGTGGTTGAAATTTTAAGGCATGAGATAATGAAAGTCCACTCTGCACTCTTCCAAAAAATAGTTGCTGGAAGCTAGGCATTCTTGGCCCTGGAACTAAAGCAGCTTGGTACAAAACATTAAAAGCTGTTTGGGGTTTTCTTGCCCTGAAGTCCTAGATGGTTTTGTAGTGCCATCTAGTGGACAACAATAAATCATTAGTTTTATAAAGGGCAAGTCATCTTTTGCAGAATTAGAAAATAAAGAAGAATACAAAGGAAATCATGATGAAAAGTGGGTGGAAGTGGTTTTGTGGTTTTTTTTCTCTTTTTGACTTTCTGGTATTATTGTGACTGATGAGAATTTTAAAGTGTTATCTTATAGGAAAATGCACAACTTTACTTCACCTTTCTTTGTTAATAACACAACAAGGTCTTTAAATCTAGTTAATAAGACCTCTGAAATCACTTTTCATTTCCCACCAGTGGTCCCAAGCTTGCCTTGCCATATTTTGTACTGATATAAACTGTTTTATATCGAAATACTTTGATAATCAGATTTAAAAGTCAAAGTGCTTCCTTCTTAGTTTTTTACAGTTGCTTCAAGAAATCTGTAATTGCAGCATTTCCCAACTTTGTAGCTACTTTGTGTATGGAATTCCCATTTTCATGAAGGTATTTTGAATGCAGAGTACCTACAGACTCTGGCCCCCAAGCCTTTTTGTCAGTGAAATATTTCTTATAATAGTTTCCTTTTTTTATTATTTCCTAGACTTTCTTGTTTATAAATTAGAAGCACAAGAAACACTAAATAAAGGAAGGGTAAGTAAAATAAAGAATTGGTACCAAAGAATGATGACCCAACACCATTTACAAAGGAAAGGAAAGGTTATCTAATGATACCCATTCCAAACAATAAGAGTGCATCTACACAGCGGCATTAGCTTGAAATATGCTACACCATTTGAGCTACACAATTTGCGTATCTTATTTCAAGCTTATTTTGAGATTGCTATTCTGACAAGTCCTTTAATCCTCATGAAATGAGGTTTACCAGGACGTCAGAATAGCAAGCCCATTATTTTGATTGCATTTGAAAATAACAGGCTTAGTGTTAAGTTGCAGAAAACGCTATTTCGGGATACTAGACGTGTCCCGTAGTAGCCACTGTCTAGACATACCCCAAGAGACTTAAAAAAACTCTAACTGAAATACCCTTGACTTCTTCCACTTTTGCTATGTATGTTAAATGCCCCCGTTAGGAATATTCTGATGTGGTAAGTTCTAATAAGAGAGGGAATTTCTTTCTAGGAAATTACTTGGAAAAACACTGCTTCGCTTATAGAGGTACTATAGTAGCTCAAGATAATGGTATTCTTTTTAAAATAGCTGTCTCACATCAGCCAATCTTGGCAGGAGAAATCAGAATAGGGAGAGAAATTGAGATGATAAGGTATATACATCCTATTGATGTTGTCCTTTTCCTTATTGGGCAGAGCCAGAATCTTGTAACCAGTGTTTTTTTGATTGGCTACTTAAAATCCATTAAGAAAGTTTGCTTTGCACAGTACCTGCCAGGAAGTAAAGTTAAGAGTGTTATTGCAAATATATAGCAGGTCTGTAAAGAATTCTTTTAATAACAGTAAGTGGAAGCATGCTGCTGTGTATTTTGGCTCTAGAGTGGGGAGAAATAGTGGGAGGAAAAGTAGTGTTATTAAAAATCCACTACTACTGCATCTATTGCAGAGTTACGATACCGGATACATTTCAGAACCAAAAAGATACCAGGCCAAGCATACCCCATACTGAATTATAATTGCTAATTTACAGCTTCTCCATTATATTCTTTTCAAAGAATAGGAATATGAAAGTGAATCAAGGTATTAGATTCTGCTGTACCTAATTAACATCAATATTTTCATTTCTCAGCAAGATTCAAATAGCAGATATAGTGCGCTGAATGTACAACATCAAATGTTGAAGGTAGGTACCAGAGATATTCTTGTTTGGGGGTAGCTATATGGGATATAAATGTACAATTTTCTTGGCCCATCTATAAGGGTCAATATATTGTTTCAAAATATATTGCTTCACATATTGAATAACTGTGTTTTCTGGTGAGTTACATAATTATTTGAAAGCTTCAGTAGTGTAGCCGAGTTAGTCTGTAACTGGAAAAACTTAAAAACCAACAAATAGTCTAGTAGCACCTTAGACACTAGCAAAACATGCAGATGGTATCATGAGCTTTTGTGGGCACAACCCTCCCATGAAAGCTCGTAATGCTGTAATTATTTGAGGAAGACATTGACATGCATGCCATTAAATAAAATTGGAAAGATTCTGAATATTAGAAATTGTATTCAAGATCCAACGTAATAAATACTTTGACATAAATTCTGGAAATAGTTTTAAGAATATTTATAGTTGGGATCCTGTAATCAAACAATTACTCCTTTTGCCATTGTTTTGGGTGAAACAGAATCACTTCCGTGCAGATACTATGCACAGATCCATTGAAAAATGTAATTTTGTGCATTATTCAATTATGCTAGTTGCAAATATAATATATAGTGGGGAATATAGATACATTAAAATATGCAATGGCAAGTAACTGTATGCACAATTAATAGCACTTCTTAAATAGCAGCTAGCTCTGCTTCAGTATATTTAATATTGAAAGAATATCTTGTAATTTAAAATCAATATCCTTCTAGTATTTAGCTTGTTTTCATTTTAGATGAAGCTATATGCACAGCAAAAGATTCCAGAGAAAATAATAAGAGAGGGGTTTAAAAAATTAAATGGCATGTTTTGACAGCAAAAGTAAGTTTATTTATAGGATTGCAATTTCAATTGCTAGCCAAAATTGCTTGGTGTTTTTAAGTTCTTACTTGAAAAAGAAAAAAAACCACAATGCAGATTAGTTTAAACATGTATTTCATGACAGAGCCTTTAAGGTTTCAACATCAGAAAAACTAGAATCAGTGTTGCAGACTCCTTTGCTTTTAGAATGGGATTTTTCAAGAAGTTCTCCACCTTGGCTCACTGTGCTCCATTAAAATCAACAGTTAATCTTATCCTGAGAATTACTGGTTTTGAAAAGCATGTGCTTGATGGAGATTTTCACAAGTACCTAAAGCATTTAGGAACACAGTGCTATTGATTATCATATGGAAATTGTGCTCCTATCCTTCCAGCGTGTTTCAACTCTTTCCAGCTCCCATAGGTTTCCTAGTTACTCATGATGAGTATTTATGAGGAACTGTTTTAACCAGTTTAGATTTAAACGTTCCCCTAGATTTATAGCAGTATCTCTGTTATTGCAAGTCTTTTATATGGAAACTATTAGCCCAGTCTTACACCACTGAAATCAACAGAGCTTTTGCCATCGACTTCCTTGGAGCTAGCTACTGATGTATGAGAAGAAATCTTTGGGAATATCCAGTGAAAAGTTTTCTGATATTTTCAGTAAAAATATTCCATATTGACTGAAAAAGCAGCAGCCAAGTCACTGACAATATTGACTTCTAATATTGCTGTGGGTCCATGTGATTAATGGACCTACAGATACTGCCTCTGAGAAGGTGTATTCAAGCAGCTCTCAGAGGGCCATAGCAGCTTGCCAAGGGAGATGGTAAATTCCAGGACCAGGGAGCTAGCTGGCACAGAGGCAAATTTTTGTTGAATAGGAACTGTAGTATACAGTCTTTGAATAATAAACTTCTTGTTATGAATGCTTTCTTTTCATCTGGATTTATGTAGCAAATTGCCAGAGATGATATTAGCCAGCTATGCAGTAGAGATGTCAACAGTAGATGTCTACACAGTTAGCCGATAAGTCTGGGCATATCGGTTGATCTTATCCACTACACACACTCTCTCCCACTTGCTGCCTGTGTATCAGAGGCAGCAAGGGAGCGGAGGAGCAGGAATCGGTGTCCATGAGGAACTGGCTGAAAAGCTGGCTCCCCACAAATGCCAGATCCACCTGCCCCCTCTCTTCGTCCCCCCCCCCCATTCCTGCACTGCTGCCTTTGATAGAGAGGCAGCAGTGCGAAACGTGAGGGGGGCAGGCAGGAGCCTATACACCCAGGGAGCTGGCTTTTAAGACTTCCCCTGCACATGCTGGCTCTATAGACCCACTTGCCCCTTCCTTACTGCCTCATACAGAGGCAGCTGGTGTCACCTGCCTCCCCTCCCCCAGGCTTCAGCTCCGCACATAAGAGCTGCTGCCACCCTGCACTGCTGCCTCTGTATTAGAGGCAACAGCGCTTGGTGGCAAGTGGGAGCCTGTTCACGCAGGAAGCCTTTTTTTAAATGGCTCCCCTTGATGGAGAGGTGGCAGGAGGCTCCCCGGGAGTGGGGTCGGAGCACACCGGCTGCTGGCCCCGCCTCCAGGAACTATTGAATAATCATATAACTGATAAAATTTCATGCGGTTATACAACTATTCAGTTACATGCTATCTAATATCCCCACAGTGCAGATGCAGAACTCCTTCTAATGTTCAGTTTTGGTATTTGCAGAGCCAACATGAAGAACTAAAGAAGCAGCATGCAGACCTCGAGGATGAACACCGAAAACAAGCAGATGACTTTAGGAGAACATTCAGTGATCACAAGCAGAAATATGTACAAATACAGGAAGAGAAAGAGCAGGAACTCTCTAAGCTAAAAGGTATATACCGCCTTACTTAATCATAATACACAGATTAAAACTCTTAAGTGAGTGACCAGGAACGGAAATGGATACACGTGTATATGAATACTCATGCGCACACAGTGAACACAACAGAGCATCATTCAGGCTCACTCCGCATGTTCTCCTTTACTAGTCAGTTTACATGTTCTTGCTACTCAATCCTGTATGTCTGGGTCTCTTTGTGAGAATTCCAACTAGACTCTGTTTTGCTGTTTTGATTCTCAATTGGAGAAAGGGCTGGGTTCCTGGCTCTGAAACATTTCTAATATCAGAGCTGGATTCAAATGCTCAGCTCTGACTCTGCTGCCACGTTAAAAACTAGGAAAATTGGCCCTGATTTTAAGATTTCTTTTTTAAACAACCAATCTCTTATAAGAATACAGTTACTAGTTCTGCTACCAGTTTAACTGTGAGCCTTTGATGAAGTGACTTCACATGCCTTACCTCTTTTTTTCATCTATAAAATATTAGATTTTTTCCCCTCTAAAATAAGGATATTTTTCTACCTCACATGGGCAGGGGATCCATACTCTGTTAGAGTCCCAGCATACTATCCAGGTTGCTGGCTGAAGTTTTTGCTGTTTGCAATCCCCCATCCTAAGTATAGGACATGCCACTGGGCCCTGCCCTGAAGAGCATGGTCATACAAAAATAAATTTAATCTAGAAACTAGTGAAGTAGATTTAACAAGTCGCCCATGAAAATTTAAGGTTATGTATTTTGTATAAGGTGAGAGTGACACATTCATATCAACAGAAGCTCACTTGAGCTCTGTGCACAGATCTTAAATTAGGCTTCAGTAGTATTTAAGAGCAAATACGTCACAACTTGTGGTATTAACAGTCATGATAGCATAAATGTCATTATCTGAATTTACTCTCTACATTCTTGTTTTGTTTTTAATAGAATCTATGTATAATTTACGAGAGGAGAATAGACAACTTAGAAAAGCACACCAAGATATTCATACCCAGCTACAAGATGTCA